AAGAGAAGTGGTTTTATAAAAAGCAGAGTGGAGAGCGCTTTTGCTCACGTCACTTCTCCATTTTTAATACACTTTTTCTCCCTACCTTTTCACCTCCTTTTTAGCGCGTGTTACCCACGCGCTACTCAAATAATACGATATACTAGAACTACACAAAGAGCGTGGAGAACACTAACGAAGGAGGAGCGTGGAGGGGTAAGTTATTATACAACGGTGGTTCGAAAGCACCGGATATTTGCCCGTGCATTAGCGTGGGAAGAAGGACAACATGGCAGTAAATGACCATGGCGTCACTTTGACTTCGACGTCGAACGGTAAGAATGCGCCTTGACGTCACTAAAACATGTAACACCTCAGCACTGCCATTCAGTAATGTTTATTTTTTTTACAACCAAAAAGAAAAATAAAGTCATCTGACGTGGACTGCATGGTAACCAGTGGCACCGGTTCCCACTCCCACTCTCATGACATAATCATCGGAGAGAAGTTTCAGTTCCCACGTCACCATGACGTTCCCTCCCTTGCACGTGGCCTCCCCATTTAATCTCCTCTGCTCGTGGAGCAACGTGGAGGTGACCGCACACCCGGACCCTCCCTCTCTGGTAAAATTAATTTTTTTAATACACATCCCACGTATCCGGGCCACCTGGATTCCCAGCATGGTAAGTAAAATGTTTATAAGGCTGGCGTGGACCCTACCCATAAAGTCCACGTTCAAAATCCACCGTCCATGGTGGCAACTACTGTGTCTGCCATATGTGTGGACGTGATAATCAAGCGATTACGTCATAATTTCTTGTTTTTTTCACTAATTAAATTATTATGATAATTATATCAATAATAACCCACTATTAAGCTTATAATTTCAATCCCCTAATTACACTTCTACCATTATTAATTACGTTCTGTATACATTTTTTCTTTCCCACTTTCGCCCCTTTTCTTCCGTCCAATCATGTTCCATCCCCCAGTACAATCCACTGTTTAATTATGATACCCCACAACTTTTAAAAAATTATTTCTTATGCGTATGCCATTAGCTTGGTTCCAGGAAAGGAAAACAACTTGCTGAAACGATGTCGTTTTCCAAACGTGGCGTTGGATTATATATATAATTTCTGTGTAATTAATAATAAAATTTACAATACATTACAACCCTCGGCCGGTATGGAATCCGGGTCGATGCCCATAACCCGGCCCATTACTCGTGTGTAGTTGCTTTCATTTCACTTCGTCTCTCCTTAAATCTGTCGGCGCCGTTGGACAAGGCCACCAATTTATTCATTTTTTGGAGTATTAAAATTCGTTGACTGACTTATCGTGACACATGGGTGACGCAACTGCCATGACAGTCACAGGTCATCCACTGCCTGTCCCCGCTGACGCCATGATCTGAGCCTGTGTCGGGCTTCCCTTCCAGTCCCCCACCGGAGCTCCGATCGCCTTCCACACTCTCAACCGTACACGTGTCCCATCCCCACTGGAAAATGGGTAACGACGTAACGCGGGAACGCGGCGAGTAGAGGAAATTTGATCGACTTTACGCAAAAGATTTAAATTTTATTGGGATGGAGATTTGTCGTATTCCCACCAGTAATCGGCGTGGAAAATTGTGCAGTATTTGTAATTTACTCCGCCGCCCTCAATAAATCGCTTCCTCTTCAATTACGGGCCCATTTAAGTTTTCACATTGAGGGCATCAAATAATGGAATATTAAAATATACCCAGAAATAATATAATATATTGTATAAATACATACTATGAACCATATAATAAAATTAAATGAAGAAAATATAGAGAATGAAATATGGGTCGGAGGAGAAAGCGACAAGCAAGGAAGGAGGGACTCTTCATATTCGGAAAGGTTATTGAAATGCATGTGATGCGTTTAAGGTATTTTGTCGGCGTGTGCTTTCGTGTTATTAATAATCGATAAAGTAACTCTCACATTATTGCATTTCGATTCCATAACCAAGTGGGACACTTGGGTTTCTAGCGTCACTATATATATATATATATATATATATATATATATATATATTTTACAAAAATAATATTTATTTAAAACGAGTAGAAAATACTCCTATATTCTTTTATTCATTTAATTTTCAAAATTTTTAATAATACCTTCCAAAAAAATTAATATAAGACCACATTTCCTTATTTTCTATTTTTTTTTCTCCTATCCAAAAATCCTTCCTCTATTTATTAATATTTAAAAATACTCGGTTGTGAGATAATTATATTGGTTGAAGAATAAAACAAAGTATTTCTTACGATAAGCCTCTCTTTAGCAAACGCATCTTAATCTTTGAGGGGAAGCCCGTAAAAGCATGCCTGGAGAGAACGATATTTGCTAGTAGTGGGCTTGGATTGTTACAAATGACATCAAAGCTATATAACGGAGTGAGATCCCACGTCGGTTGAGAGAGAAAGTACAAATAGGACAATATCTGTGAAAAGTGGACATGAAAAGGAAAGCCCATATCTAGTAGTATGAGGGGGAAAGTCCAAGGAGAACAGTATCCGGGTATGCAAGATAACAATATCTATGAGCGGAAACTAAATTTTTGTTGAATTTTGAAGAAATATATTGATTTGGAGGCTTTTCGAGATTTAAAAATAAGGGTATCAATGTAAAAATAATAAGAGTATCTATATGAGCTGGTTTCAATTATCTATCAATATCTAGTAGGATTTCCGTCCTCCACTAAATCCTATTCGTATAATTAATGGTTTATTTAAAGTACCTGTAAAAATAATATGCTTGACCTAACTATATAATTTTCAATTTACTTTTATTATATTTAATTAAAATAAAGTTTAATTATAAATTTAGATATTTGTGTTTATTTAATTAACTAAAAAATGATGGGCCGATCATTGCAGCCCATTGTTGAAGACCAATTGGATCTTACCCAACAGCTCGGGTAATTTGGGCTTCAATTGTTTGGATTAAGTTAAACCCGGTTCAAATAAACCAAGGGGATTATTTTCTTCGTATATCCTCTGACGTCGGTGTAGCCATTCCCTCCAATTTTTCGATCAGCTTCCGATCAGCGTTACATTTTGGGTATCCATTTGAAGCTGAGCGATACTGTAAAAGTATTGCTTCTGTAATGGTTTACGAGATTGATTTTAAACTTTGCACATTTGTCGCTACGGGAAGAGGATCATTGATGAAAACAGCAATGTATGACCGGGGGTGCCGCGATGCTGTTATTGGCTACTTCAAGAGCGCGGTAATTTATATAGCGCCATAAGTTCATCGATTCAGTTCTTTGATTTCATATTTGTTGAAAGTTCATCGATTCAGTTCTTTGATTTCATATTTGTTGAAAAATATGGATTGTTATTTCTCCATCGCGTAGCTGATATGTCGAGGATTTTCGTTCGTTTTGATAAATAAGTTGATAAATTCGCCCTAGCTATTGATAATATTATGCGAGTTTTAGGAAAAACAGAAGAAGATTATACTTACACGAATCTATAGTCCAATCGCTGTGTGATGATAAAATCAATACTCAAAATTCGAGAAGTTATAATTTGGAAATTTTGGAATCGTAGTTCTGTAATTTGGATCTGTGGCTCTTTTTCTTATGCTCTATTTACTGCAGAGTTTCACTGAAGGATATCTGGATCGTTGGAGATTTGGTACAATTTATGACTGTTCTTGAAGATGGTTGCGATGCGCATACGGTGGTGAGTGGGCGATGTCCATAATTGTTTGCATTGCATAATTTGAGCTCGGGTCCATTAAATTGTTTAACAGTTCTAAACTCTGATCTGATTACTCTTTTGGTGTCATTATTTTGCAGGAAATTCAACTTGACAGTATGGAATCGAAGACCAGAGGCCGACCAAGTTAGTTTCCCTTCCACTGTCTGTTCTCCACTGCTTCTGCTCTTTTTCTTTAGATATTTGCGTGCATAGTTTATATATATATATATATATATATATATATATATATATATATATATATATATATATATATATATATATATATATAT